GGYTCACCTTTGTCAACCTTTGGTTCCTTTCTTTCATAACCCACTGGGACTTTTGGATAATTACTAAGACTGCTATCAACAATAGTTCCATCTTTCCAATAGAAGAACTCGGTATCATGAGGCTCAATCTTGAGACTCAAAGATGGCTGGTTGTCATGTTGTTCTTGACGAACATCGGTTGTTGGTTATGTTGTTGAGTGGCATCGATAGTTAGTGTTCCTGATACTGTTCCTGACAATACTGTTCCTGACACTGTTGCTGAGCGTCGGTGCTGATTACTGCTGCGTACGTTGTTGATATCGACGATTCGTTGGTCGACGCGTTGGAAGCTTGGATTGATGCCGCTGACTGATAGCGTCGATGCGTTGGTAGTAGCTTCTTGCTTGGTTCAATTGCTGGTTGCTGGTGATAGTGTTGGTGATACTGTTCCTGATACTGTTCCTGAGTGTTGCTGCTGATTACTGCTGGTGATGGAAAGTTGTCAAGCGTTGCTGATATTGTCGATGCGTGTGAAGCTTGCTTGGATCGATGGCGTTGCTGATACTGTTGCTGATACTGTTGCTGATACTGTTGCTGATACTGTTGCTGATACTGTTGCTGATACTGTTGCTGATACTGTTGCTGATACTGTTGCTGATATTCTTGCTGGAGATGAACTGTTGCTTTATAGTATGGCTGATTAGTGTCAGTGGAGGGGGGGGGCAAGAAGATGTCGGTTGTCAGAAGGAGAAGCGCTCTCACTGGAATTATGGTAGCTTGAGCACATTGTTGTGAGGACTCGTCTGTGTCCAACAATTGACAACAGGTTGCCTTCCTGCCATCAGCATCATGAAGGATCAGTATTGGTGCAGCATCAGATAATTTAGGTAAATATGTTCATCAAGAATTTATTTCAAGCACTCCAACAGACATCATGACAAAAATTCCATAGAAAAAATGGTGCGTTCCAACAAGATTTCGTGATGTCAGTCAGCGCGCTCATCATCTGTTTTTTGAATAGCTCTCCTGTTTGAGGGTCCTTTCAGAGTTCCTTAATCTCAGTGCACAACAGTTGGTACAGAAACTTCCCCTCTGGAGCCCACCTGTCTCTCCTTCCGCTTCTTGCATCACGGAATCTCTTTTGCTCCAACTTAACAGACCAATCTTTCTTTCTCATAGGGGAGGACTCCCATACATAAAGTTCATTGTAAAGCATCAGGAGAGCAAAGGCTTCATCAATGAGAGCTAGTGGTGGTGGTGATAATGATCCAAGAGAAGATGATCTAAGTTATCAAGGTTCCAATGGGGATGATACTGAAGACTATGCTGATAGAGACATTTGAGAGGGCATTGCAGGATAAAAAAGGGAGACCAGACTTACTGTTGATGAAGCTAACTTCTGTGAGGTGTTGATGAGTTTGGGAATTTCTTGGCAAACCGCCAATGAGTTATTTAGACAGTGTTGGACTTCCAGGAACAGGATCCACGGGCGTAATGCAAAGGCTCTCATATTCCTTTGCACAGACTTCAATAAGATTAACCCAAAATTGTTTCGGTTGACGGATGTTGGTTTCAACAACATCAAGTTACTTTCAAGTTGGATTACCTTTTGCTCTATTATTGGGAAAAGGACTTTTGCAATTGACTGGTTGAATCATCCTGAAGAGTTGGACTGTGCCTTAGAGAGGGTACTTCACAAGCATCAAATGAAGGAGAAAGCAAAGACTGGAGAACTGGCTTGTACAGTTGACTTCAATGCACAAGTTCTGTGAGTTTGATCACGCTTTATGTGCACACCTTCCGGCTATCCAATGTGCATCTGGTTCTCCATTACTTGATGTACTACGTGACGAGGTTGATGTTCCCAACACCCACATATACAGTGAAGTTGGCATTGGAAACACTTTTGAATCTTGGGATGAGTACCTCATTGGATGTACCACCCATGACAGTGAGGATTTCATTGCTGACAATTGCAGGGTCTACAAGATCCTTGTCAAACAAGTGAGGACCGGTGATGCTGGTACTAGTGAAATTCAGTGCTTTTGCAAGGACAAGAAGTCCAATGGCCGTGGAGCTCATATGCACTTGAGAATCATGGCAAATATGAGGGCCCATCCTCAGAAGATTCTGAAGAAGACTTGCAAGTTTATGCAGAAGAGTCCCAATTATATTGGTGACACCAGAACTTATACCTTTGAAACTCACAAGAGAAAGTGGTACAAACTACGTGATACTATCGAGTATTATGGGGGTGCCATTGATGAAGAACAAGCATTCTACTATGACTTCTGTGCTACCATCCAAGATCCAAGGCTAATGAAACTACCCTGACCATGATAACTTTGTCAAGATCACTGAGCATTTGACATCATTACTCTGCAGGCAACAAGTTCCCTCAATTCCAGATCCATGATGGCATCTTCAAAGTCTTCCTGTGCATAGATTAACTCATGTAGTCGAAAATCTCCAGAGAAGACCAGGTGCGGTTGCTTCTTGGGTTCAACTGAATTATAGACAGCCAGTTGGTGATAGATTAGATCCTGATGTAAATCCTATTAAGCGTGTTGAGATGATTGCTAATGAGATCAGTGGACAGGTTCACTTTGATGAGCTTGCTGATCTCCTTGATCGTGGGCCCAGAGGAGGCGGAGCTTCCAAAGGATCATGAAAGTTCTAAAAAATACTCCTATTACTTCGAAGCAACGCCTTTACCAAAAGTCAATTTCAAAACCAACTTGTAGAGCACGGAGGGTGCGGCAACTGAACGAATGTGGTGCTTTGGAATAACTTCCATAGAAATATCGTTCGCAAAATCAAACCTGCTTGAACATTGTATTTTGATGATCTTTGTATCCATGATACTGTCACCGTCTAAAAGCAGCCTCTTCTTCAATGGCGGTAGGCAAACAAAACGATGTTTCTCGATCTAATTATGAAACAACAACTTCATTTTTGGCGCATTCTATCGGCCTAATCTGCTTGCTTCCCATCATGTGCAGTGGTGCCACACACAGAGCGGTCTCTAAATCTATTGCTCTACCGCAAAGAAAGAGCACAAACTTACGCGATTTTGATAGGTCGTCAAGCAGAAGGCACGTGAGTGATCGACATCCATGTGTGAAAAAAATCGACACGGTCTAGATGATGTTCAGTCAAAACGAATCCGTCTTCGTTAGCTGGGGCGGCGGTGGTGCGGGCGTGGCAGCTGCGTCGCCCTCCTCGTCGTCTTCGCGGTTGGTGCTGAGTGCGTTTTGATTCTTTGCTACAACGGCGGCACTGTCGTCGTCTTCCGCTGCACTCCATGCCGACAGCGTCGAAAGGTTGGGTTCCATAGTCGTGGTGGGAAGAGCAATCTCAACATTGTCAAAGACAGGGTGGGGATTGCCAGAGGTGACAGAAGAGGGTTGTGGGGCATTGTTTTCGTGTGGGGCTCTCCCCAAAGGTGGAGGCATTAAATCCTTTGATGTCTGCTTTTCCAGTGTCGTCTTCATGATTTCCCAGGCTTGTGACTTTTGCTTCGTCAACTGATCCTTGTCGCGAGAGGATTCTGATTCTGTGTCGCTGCAATCGAGAAGATTCCCGAACGCTTTGGTCTCATTTCTAAACATGGGAGGTACCTCCCGTCCACCCCCGGCAATTTCAAGTGTCCGAAAAAGATTGTCCCGACTGTTTTTGTCCAAAGACATTGAGCCAAAGGAAGTTCCGACGACATCCATGAGGCCGCCATCGACCATGTTCGGGTCGCTGTTGTTCAGCATGTTGTAGGACATTATTGTTCCAAATGAAGTACCTCCTGCATTTGGATCCAATTTCATTTGGAAATTCGAAAAATTTGTTCCCCCACTCATCATAGATATATCGCCGATTGATGTTCCCGTCGGTTCTAAGGTTTCACCCGTGGGTGCGGCGGGTACTGCGCTCCTGCTGTTGATAATATCATTATTTTTATTGACATTGCTGTCGATGTTATTATTTTCATATTCTCTCGACACCAAATGTCGCTGGTTATGACGGCCATTCTTACTCATATTTTCAATCGAATATTGCTGGTCGGCGGGGTTGTTCCTGCTGATAGTGGCGGCTTGTTGCAATAGATGCATCTCATCATCCGTCATGGCAATTGAACCAAAGCTAAGTCCATTAGTTTCCAACTCGACTGGAGTAGCAGCCGATAATTCGTCAACCGTCGGTGTTGGCACAGTAGTAGTGTTGTTACTTTCCTGCTGTTTGTTCTGCTTATTGTAATATGCCAATTGCTGCTGCTGATTCTGCGGTTGATACTGTTCTTGATGATGCAAGTTTTGGTGTTGATGTTGCTGATATCGGTTGTACGAAGGTTGTTGCTGTTGATAGGGGTGCTGATGAATCTGAAAATTCTGGATGTTGTTGTTGCTTTGTTCACAATGTTGACCGTTCACGTTCATGCCATTATTCGCCATCATCACGGCATTCTGAACCATCCTTCCTCGTTCGTTCAGGTTCATGTGGCCGTGACCTCCAGAAGACATTCCATTCCTACCGTACATATTATTGTTGCTGTTATCAAGTGCATGTTGTTGCTGCTGATGCTGGTAAAGTTGTTGGGATTCTCGTGCCGTCATCCTTCCATTGCTAGGTAGGCTTTTTGAAGGATCTGTGGCATCGGTTTGTTGGTGCTGCGGCGCAGAGGGGGGTACGGGAATTTGTGCTGACGTCACTGTTTCGTTCATGAACCCCGAATTGGAATCCCCCGATGTAGATGCTGTAATTGCAGCGGCGACCTTTTTTCGAATATCGGGGGCACCCTCTCGCAGGGCCTGCGACGTCTTTTCTTGAGCGCGCTGATCCCCCACATCGTTCCAGAGCTTCGTTTTCCCGTTCTTTTGAAGGAAGCGACCAGGCGGATTCTGGCTCCGAACGGCATTGACGATGGACCGAGACAACAACATTTTTTGGCGCTTGGGAAGCGTTATATAGAGCTGTTTGTTAGCAGCGACAAGCATCCTCCAATGAGAGTTACCGACTGATGGAGTAAAGGGTTGTTAAACAAATGGACATACGACTGAGTTTACCAAAAAAGTGAGGTACACCGAAGAGAACACACGATTAGAGATGACTGCGTACGTACTGTGGTTATTTGTCCCGCCTCCTCTGCCGCAAAGCACATCATGCTCGTGCGGCTTTTGAATGTCTTTCAAGGGATGATTCGCATACATATTCATTGGCGGTGTTTGTGCTGTCGCCAGGGTCGAGTCGTTCTCAATATCTTGTTGTTGAGAGATGATTTTTGGTATCTGAAACGTAACAATGAAGGAGGGCGACATCTGCGTCCGCTCCTTCCCTCACAATTGAACCCAATGGACGACTAAATTGTCGTGCCGTACAAGGTACGAAGTACGACGAAGGGGTCATAATTTAGAGGGGGCGCATAGAATTTTTTTAGTATTGGAGACGACGGACAGACAGAAGACGCTAACCAGACAACACAGCAATCTCGTACCGGACAGGTACTCGTACCAAACAAAAATATTACTACCTCCGTCCAGATATAATTGTACACTTTGCAGTACTCAATTTGTCCAGT